TTTCCCTTCAAATCCTCTCTAGATACCCTTGCGCCTTTCCCTTGTCCACTCTCCTCTTCCTCTCTCCCCGTCTAATCCTCTAGTCTAACACAACAACCTCCCACAGATACACAAGCGCTTTCCCCTTCCCCCACCCTACTCTCGACCTCCCTTCCCTTCCTATTCTAACACGACCTCCTCTCCCTCCTCTAGATACGTGTGCTGGAACGCCTACCTGCTTCGCCGAGCATCCCGCGGTTACCTGGAGTCTGTCTGCCTTACCAATGGACCCTTCAGCAACTACTACGCCCAGGAGAGCACTGACGATGGGATTATGATGGAATCCGACGTGACTGTCAAAGAGGTATTTGTGCATTCATAGTTTTCGTTCGAAGTGAAATGGACTTCGCTTGTGTGTGCATGTGTACGTGTCTGTTTATAGATGTCGTACGTGTCTGTTTATAAATGTTCTAGCTGTTAAAGTGCCTTTGTGTATACAGACACTAAGGAGAACAAGTTAAATACTGGAAAGGTTATTAGGTAAAACGTGAGAGCATCAGAGAGACAGTAAGGGTTAAGTTATTCTTTACGGAAAACATTATGTCAATCATGATTATGCAGATAGTGATGGTTATAATATGAAAGCGAAGAAAATATAATGATAAAGATACGTTAACCAAGGAGAACAACACTGAGATTAACGGAGATTATGGCAAGCTTTTCAAAGGGCAATAATAGCAATAGTGGAGAAAATAACGCTGTATGTGTTTATATTAATCATGCTCATATTAATAATGAAAATATTATGAATATAAAGATGATAATGATAGCAAATGTAATGATAACGATGATGATAACGACAATAATAGTAGTGACAGTAATAATGATACTGGTTATAGAGATGATTATAAAAAAAACACAAAGATAGTAATGATAATAATGATGATAACAATAACAATGATAATAACTATAATAATAATGATAGTAATGATGACAATAATGGTAACAATAAAAATAATAAAAATAATAACAATGATAATAAAATCAATAATAATGATAATGATGATAATAATATTAATGGAAAAAATAATGACAGTAACGAAAAAGAAAATTTTGAAACGTAGCAACAATAATGATAACATGACGACAAAGGTGACAAAACCAAGAACGAAAAGATTAGTATTGCAATGCTAAAAAATATTAATGATAATCATAATTAAAGTGATGATAATATTGATAATATTAATAAGAATGGTATTAATAGAAATGGCAGTAACGATAACATTAACGATATCAGTTATGTTGATAATGATATAATAATAATAATAATAATAATAATAATAATAATAATAATAATAATAATAATAATAATAATAATAGTAATAATAATAATAATAATAATATGATATAATAATAATAATATAACAAATAATAAATAATAATAATAATAAGGATAATAAAACAACAATATAATAATAATAATAAAAATAAAAAATAAAGAAACTACAACTACAATGATGGTGATTATGATGACGGTAATGGTAATAACAATCATAATAGTAGTAATGATAACAGTAATAATAAATTAATAATAGTAATATAAGTAATGGTGATAAGAAGAAAATGCTAATAATAAATAATGATGATGATAATAATAATGATAATAATGCTAATAATAATGATATAATAATATAGTATAATAATAATAATAATAATATAATAATAATAATAATAATAACAGTAATAATAATAATAACAATAATAATAATGGTAATGATAATAATAATAATGAAATGATGATAACACTAATAATCATTATTTCTATTGTGATAGAAATTACAAATATAATAATAACAATAAACATAATAGTAACAATAATAGTGATGATAATGATAATAATAATAATGATTATAATTATATAAATTATCATGAACCATATATATATAAACAATAATGATGATTAATAATGATAATAGTAATAATGATAAATGATGATAGTAATGATGATGATGATGATGATGATGAATGATAATGATAATAATAATAATAATAATGACAATAATAATAATAATAATAATAATAATAATAATAATAATAATAATAATAATAATAATAAAAATAATAATAATGATAACAATAATGATAATACTAGTATTATTATACTAATAATAATCACACTAATAAAAACAATAGTATTGATGATTATGGTGATACTAATACTAATAATGACGATAATAACAATAATAATACAAACAATAATTATAATGGTGATAAGAACAACAATAGTAAAAAATGTGGCAATGCTAACAAAAGCAATAATAGTAACAATAACAATGATAATTATAATAACAGTAATAATAATGTCTTATCGAAGAACCGTGCCCTTGCAGCTAGTGAATTCCTACACCTCTCTACGTCTAGCCATTTGCAGTATATGTGCAGCTTTGTTTCCACCTCCTGTTCTTCTTTATCCCATCCATGTACTTCTCTCATTCATTCTTCCTGCTTAGCTTAGTTCCCCTATCTTTCCTCTTCTTCTTACATGTCCTACAAGCCTCCTTTTTATTACTCTTGCTCTTTTCCGGTGCCCAGTCTTATGAGCAATTCTTCATTCAGTATTTTCTTTGTCCAAAATATGTTCACAACCCTTCGCCAGCATCTTCCAGCCTTTTGAACTGTATAACATTACTGACCATTTATATGTTGTAACTGCTCTTTGTCTTGCTTTTAATGAGAAATGGCTGTTGGTAAGTATATTTCTTTTGAATGCTGATAATGGTAATGGTAATGACAATAATGATAATAATGATGATAATAATAATGAGGATGGTAATGACAAGTATAGTATTAACAATAATAATGATAGTAAAGATGATAATAATCGTGGTAATATGAATGATAATGGTGATGATAAAGAAAATAATAGTAATAAAATTAACAATAAGAATAATGATAGAAACAGAACAATAATGGAAATAATAATGATAATAGTATTAATGATAATAATAATAATAATGATAATAATGATAAGGATAATAGTACTAAAACAGTAATAAGGATAATGATTAAAATACTAAAATACTAATAATGATAATGATAATAATGATAAAGATATTAAAAATAATTTTAATCATGATGATAACGAAGATTATGATGATAATATTGAAAATAATAATGATGATAACAATGATAACAATGATGATGATAATGATAATAAAAATAATAATGATGATGGTAATGATAATAACAGTAATAATAGTTATGAATTTAATGATAATATTAGTAACAATAACAATAATAATATCATAATAATGATAATAATAATAATAATACTAAAAATAATAGTAACAATAATAATAATAATAAAAATGATGATAATATAATGATAATGATAATAATGATAATAATAATAATGATAATAATATGAAAATAATAATAATAATAATAGTAATAATAATAAAGATAATAATGATAATAATAATATTAATGATGATGATGATGATGATGATGATGATGATGATGATGATGATGATGATAATGATAATAACAGTAATGGTAACAATAATGATAAAAATAGCAATAACAATCATGATGATAATGATAAAAAATGATAATAATGTTCATGATAGCTATGATAAGGATAATGATAAAGATGATAATAAAATTAATAATAGTAACGATGAAGATAATGATAATAATAAGAATGGTAATAATAATGATGATACTAATTATAATAATAATAATGGTGATAACAATGATAATAATAACATAGATAATGATAATGGCAATAAAGATAATAATAATGATAATAGTAATAGTAATAATAATAATAATAGTAGCAGTAATAATGATGATACTAGTGATGATAATAATAGCGATAACAATAACAGTAATAACAATAATGATAATATTAATAATAATGATAATAACAATGACAATAATAGTAATCAAAACAATTATGATTATAATAATAACAATGATAATAATGATGATAATAATTTAAAAAAAATGATGATGTTATCAATTATAATAATAGCAATAGTAATAATAATAATAATAGTAATGATAGATTTTATGACGATGAAAATAGTAATAAAGATACTGATACTGATAATGATAACAAAAGTGATAAACGCAATGACAATTCCAGTGATAATGATATTGTGAAAATTTATGATGATAATATTAATGATTTTATAGAGACAGTGCAACTAATAATAGTAATAATGATAGTTGTAATCGTCGCTTATTAATAGTGACACTAATCCTAATGATAAAGACGGTGAACATAATGATAATGATAGATACTATTATGGTAGTAATTCTAACATCAATAATGATGTTTGTCTGACATCATCTTTGCCATTGTCATTATTACAACTACTACAACTATTAATAGTAATGAATGATACTACTAACTACTCCAACTACTACTACTTATGATAATGATGATGATGATTATAATGATAATGATAGTGTAATACTAGGAATGATAATTGTTATAGTAATAGTGATAATAATAATGGTAATAAGACCATGCTAATCATGATGAAAAATTGCTGTAAAATGATAATTATAATGAAAAGATTAAGCATAATGATATAGATATTGATATCAAAAACAATTTCAATAGTAATAACAGTCATTTTGGCAATAACAATAGAAATGGTAATAGTACTACTACAACCACCACTACTACTAGTGGTAATAAAAATGATAATAATGATATTAATGATGAAGATAATAAGGACAAGAACAATAATGATAATGAAAATAATAATAGTATTGATAATGATGATTATATAGAAAAATAATTATCATAGTGATAATAATGATAATTAATGATAATAATGATAATCATAATGAAGAAAAAAATAAAATAAATAATAACAATATGATAATGATAATGAAAATAATAGCAATAATAATGGTAATAACAATATTGATAATAATATTAACAATAATAATAATGAAAAAATTATAATAAAAAAAATAATAATGGAAAAATAATAGTAATGGCA